TGTAGGCACAGCCTGGAAAGGTGGCTGCTCAGAGCTGGCTGGGTGCACAGATGGGGGCTTCAGTCCTGCCTGGCTCTGTTGGGTCACTTTGCCTGAGACTCGGGTCTCACAGGGTCACCCTGAGGAATAACGCATGCGGACGCTCAGCATGAGCCCCGCACACAGTAGGTCTGGCCTTCTCTCAGCTCCCTCCAGGGTGTTGGGGGGCCTCGATGTTGTCCCAGCACCCTGCCCATGTGGCCTCCTGGACCCCTGTGAACCACATGCCTGTCTCCCCTCCCCTGCAGGCTTACGCATGGTTCTGGCTTCTGCCAACCATTTGCCACCAGGAGGCTGCAGGAGCAGCAGCCTGGCAGGGTCCCCCAGTTCCAGCCCGTCATGTTCCATGAACACTTGCGGGGACCTCCTTCAGTCCCCACGCCCTCCCAGTGACTGTAAGTGGATGCTCCTTCCACCTTCCACCTGAGGCGGCCACAGTGACGGGCCTCCGGGCCAGGCAGCCAAGTCTGAAGTTTTCCTGAGGGCACAGGTTGGCGGTGGGGGCTCTGCCATGTGCACCTGCTGGCATCAGGGCAGAAGCTCCTAGGACGTGACCTGGGTCTCCCCTGGCCTCTGTCCTGTCCCAGCCACTGGGGCAGCGGAGTGTCTTGAGGGCCATGCTGTTAACTCACTCGTCAACTCCGTGACTGCTCTCACACAGCTGTTGGGACAGGACTGTTGGCATCCTAAGTGACAGGCGAGGAAATCAAGACATGGGCCATTAAGTCATTTACGGGGCAAATCAGTCGTGGCCCAGAGCTCTGCCTGTGATTGCAATTCTACTGTCTTCCAGGCGCCCAAGACCTCGGGGCCCTTGAGAGTGAGAACAAGAGACGCCGAATGAGTGGACGCTCGTTAGGTGAGTGGATGCTTGGTAGGAGCGTGAGAACCCCCACGGTCCTTGCTCTTCCCATCAGCATCACTTCTCCTTCCCCGAAGCCTGGCCTCCCGCCTGCAGACCCCACCATCAAGCATGGAAGGGACTTCTCTCCACTGGGGACAGAGGACGGGTCCTGAAGTCTGTGGGTCAACTGACCCGGGGTCCCAGGGAAGTCCTGCGCTCTTCTAAGGTCTCAGTTCCCAGCAGGAAGTAAACTGGGGAACTGGAGCACTGTCAGCCTCTCTCCCAGCACTAACATCCTGGAATCTTGCTTTGAAAACATTCTGAAAATCAAGACCCTTGGTCAGAGCAGAGGGTTGGTCCGCACAATGTTTACCAAACCAGGGATGCGCGGGGCCCCGTCCTGAGTGACAGAGACCCGGAGCCTCTGAGCCCAGGACACGCAGGCGAGTGAGTCGAACGATGGGTTTGAAGTCTGCAAGGTGGACACCGGGCTGCAGAGGCTCAGTATCACCACCAGCCCAGCGCTGCCCCCTCTGGAGCTGCCCCTTGTCCAGCCAGTCCTCTTGGGAACCCCGCTGGTTCTGCCCCTTCTGATGAGCTTCCGATGGCTACTCTGTGCCAGGTACCACCTGGCACAGGACCATGGTGTCACTCAGACACGGGCCCTGGCCACAGAGCTCCCAAGCTAGCCAAGTCCATTTCCAACCTTTGTCCTCCCAGATACAGTGGGGACACTCCCTTCTGCCAGGAGCCCGCTGCGGGGCCCCAAGGCACCGTCCCTCAGCCTGGCTTCCAAGGTTCTGCTAGTGGGGGGTAAACCCAGCCCACACCCAGGGCTTTGCACGACATCAAGACCCACAGTCCCCAGAATGTGAAGGGTCAGCATCTGGGCCTCAGGCAGAGGCAGCCAGACTGGGGCTCAGTAGGTGCACTTGGAATTGTTGCCTGGCAATGTGGACTCACTACACAGCCCCTCTGTCCCGGCTGGAGGCCGTGGCACCAACCTGACCTGGGAACTGAGCCCACACGCGGTGAAGGTTACTCTGTGCTGCCTTGGAGGCTCTAAGCAAGCAAGGCCACCGTGTTCTCCAAATGCTCCAAGGGACCTGTGGAGGGGCAGGGCACCTGGGACAGTGCACACATGGCCTCAGAATCCCAGGCCTGCCTCCTAGCAGCTGTGTGAGCCTGGAGGGTCGTGCAACCTCCCTGAGCCTCAGCGTTGTCATCTCAAAAATGGGTTAATATGGACCGACTTCACCACAGCAGCTGGTGGGGATGCAGGGGTATTACAGAGGGGGCCCCTCACACCATCCCTGTCCTTCCTCTGAGGACACCAAGCTCATGGGCCCCACTGGCAGGCTGGACAAGGCTGCTGGGGGCCATATGGGGCTGAGGTAATGAGACATGGCCCTGTAGAGTCCTAGACACGTCCAGAGAAGTGGCCCCAAAGTGCAGCCACCCGGGAAGACACAGGCAGGCTCAGCTCTGGTCAATGGAGTCACCCTCCTCGATGCTCTGCCCATGGAGACAGCCTCTGGCCGGCAGCAGCCAGTGTGTCCCAGGGAGCCCACTGCTGCGGCTGCAGGTGAGTGAGCAGGACAGGGACAGCTGGGCTCAGTCTGCCCTTTGCCCTATGAGGGGCACAGTGCAGTAGAGACGAGGGTTCACATCCCAGGCCGCCTTTCACTGTGGGTCCAACCGTTCCTCTTGCCCGACTCTCAGCTGTCCCATCTGTAAAGTGGGCTTAGGACCATCCACCTCGTGGCTTGGTTTGAGGACAATACCACCCATGTTGGCGTAAAGGGCATCACGGGGCAGAAGGTCACTTCCTAAAAGACAAGCCACCTGTCTGACCTGTCTGATAGCCTGTGTGGGGGAGGGGGCAGAGCAGCTGGGTGAAGACCAGGCCCAAAGTCAGCACCCCAGACATGGACTCCGCCCAGACGCCCTGGCCGGGCTTGTCAAAAACCCCTCTGAGGCTTAACTGGGATGGTTTCTCCTCCTGGAGAGAAGACCACCAGTGAAGCTCAAGTTCACGTCAAGTCAGAAGTGACCTTGTTCTTCTCACTTCATCTGCTACGCATGGAAGACGCGTGTCGGGCCCTCAGGATTCATAACTTGAGACATTGGAGACTAAAGACATTGGCCAAATTTATACAGAAAGATGAACTTGTTGGGTGTCTTTTCAGATTACAGGGAAAAGAAGAAAGGAGAGAATTTCCTAGTCATCTGTGATCCACTCAGAATTCATGGGAGTCTGCCCAACAGCCGACAGCAGAGAGCCTGTCTCTGGGTTCCAGATGTTTTAAATATCACCATCTGAATAAATGCTTGGAGTCCCCCACAAGCCGCAGCAGAGGGCCAGGCCTGGCCAGCCCCTGCACCGTGGCTGACAGAACCTGAGGAGTGTGGCTCTGCTGTAATGGTCATTGTGAGCTGGACAGGATGCTGCAGGCGGTGTGACCACAGAAGGTGGTGTGACCCTGGGAGGCCAGGGGAGGCCCACACGGATGTGAGTGCCCTGTCAGGGCATGACAGCTTTCTTCTCTGAGCCCTGGTGCGGCAGGAGGGAATTAATAGCCTCTGGGCTCAACACATCCTATGAGCCAGCTCACATAGCCCTTGGCACGCAGTGGGCGGGCCACTAACATTGGTCACTGTCATCAGATTTTCTTAAACATATTTGGGCCAAATTGCACTTTGCTCTGCAATAACCTGTGAGCTGAGTGTACACGCTACACACAGTACAGTGGTCACCAGAGTCCCCCAACCCCAGGAAGGGAGACTGGGGGAGGCAGTTATTCCTGTTCAGATGGGGAAATCAAGGCTCAAGGAAAGAGGCAACCGATCCCGGGTTACAGTCACTGGATGTGGGTCTCCCTACTGTCCTCATCACACAAAGCCACACATCCTGGGCTCCTGTGGTTCCTGCCTGGCCCTGGCCCCAGCACTGGGCGGAAGCCATTTTCATGCAGCAGTCCTGCGAATGAACGTAGGCTGTGGGACACTGGAGACTGTGACGGAGACGGCAGGGTCCTTCCAGGGACAGGAGGCACACACAGGTTTAATACACACTTCAGGGCCTCACAGACCTTGACCCAGGACCCCTGACACCAGCTTTTAGAGACCTCACTAGTGCTGACACACTGGTCACTGGTGTGGCCTCGAGTCGTCCAGAGGTGACCTCACCACCACACACGCCTGTCTGCAGGCTGGACCTTCAACAGCACCCCCACTCTGGGTGTTGCTTCTGAGTGTGTACCTGCCCAGGTCTGTGGCTACTGCTGCTCCCAACACCAAAGGGCAAGAGCCACTGGACGGAGCACTCTGGTCACCAAGCAGCTCCTTCTAAGCGCTCCTTATATTTCAAGAGAATATTTATTATTATTTTTTCTCATTAGAACTTCCTTTACAGCATCACAGGGCAAAGCACAAGACTGGGCAGCAGCACATGGAAGCACACCAACGGCTGGCCAGCAGGAGACAAAGGCCACAGTGCAGCCCTCACAGCCCAGCAGGAGCCCGGCCCCTGTGCCAAGGACGGCCTGAGTCCTGCCCCACCCTCGCTGCCTTGTGACAAATACAGGCCATGACGAAGGAGGCCTAGGATGGGAACAGCAGCGCGACTGGGCGGGGAAGGGAAGTTACTCTTATTCTGGTGCAGACCCCAGAAGCCCCCTCCCCAGGCGCCTGCTCTGATTCAGATGCTCAGTCGGAGCCTCGCCTCTGAGATGCCGTTTCCTGGGGTTGCTGACGCCTGCTCTGGGGAGGCTCCTGGGGATTGAAAAGATGCTCCCGGCTCGGCCGGGCTTCAGGATGCCGGAGCCCGCAGGGCAGGGCCAGGAAGGAAAGAGAGACTGAAGACAGCTCGCTGCTGCAGTGTCCCGCCTGGGACTGGCCGCAGTGTCCGGAAAGAGAACAGCGGGATGTGCACAGAGTTTGATTTGTTTCACTCTTGGAATTAGCAGACTTCAAACACTTGCATCTTCCCGGAAATCAACAGTGAGGCGGGGAGCAGGGCACGAGGCTTGTGCCAGCTCTGAGTGGAAAGGCACCAGATGGTTTGTTACGAAACACATTTTGGTCAGAAAATAGCTGGGGTTTTTTGGTTCTTGGGAGGACAATAAAGCTCGAGAAAAAGGAGGAGCAGGTTGCCAGAGGTGGCGGCAGAGGAAGCAGCTTTGGCATCAAAATCTGAGTCCCACTCCTCACACCAGCCCCTCCATGGGCGTGGCCTCAGTTTCTTCATCTGTAAAATGGCCTCAAAACTCTCCTATATGAACCTAGGTGTCGGGTCCATGTCATCCCAACAGCGTGGAGGGGCAGGGACACGCACACAGACAACCAGCAGGCAGAGCCTCATCCAGGGAGGGCAAAGGCAGGGATGAGGCCTTGGGGGTGACTACACAGGTAGTCCCCACAGTCACAGTGGACTCCAGAGTCTGGGCAGCCAGTTCCACCGGTCCCAGCATGGTGGGGGCCGTCCACAGGGATCCTGGCCCCTCCTGGAGGAGGAAGGGCGGAAAGAAACCTCTGTTTATCAGCACCATCAAGGAGCCCCCAGGCACGGCTGCTCTGTGTGCAATAAAGTGCCAAGCCACGGCCTGTCTTTGGTCTGCGGCTGCCCCTCTGAGTGCCTGGGTCCAGGTGTCAAGCCTGGGCCTGCTGGGGACCTGAGGAGGACCAGCTCGAGGACCCAGTCCTGCCTGGGGGCTGCTGAGCTTCATCACTTTCAGCCAGGAGAGGGGATGTCCCCAGGGAAACCTAGGGACATGAAATGCTTTGGTCACTGTCCTGATACCCACAGCTGGAGCAGAGCTGGCTCGGGAGAGAGCAGGAAGTCACAGCACTGCTCATATAACATGCCCGATGGGAAACTGGCCTCTGAGCATGAACCAGGAGTCACTGAATAAATATTCAAGGCATCTTTCAGTTCTAAAGAAGCAGGTTAAAAATCCCCTCTCTCCCAACTGCTTGACTGGCCGCAGCTTTGATCTGCAGGCTGCCGCTGCTGTGGGCCGGAAGAGGTGGCCAGCAGGTCCTGGAGCTGGATGCCCTGCCACAGGTGGCTTTGGTCTGTCACATGTCAAGGCTGGTAGAATCCTGATGGGCCCAGGCCCTCAGAAGCTGAAGAGGTCCTCCTGCTCAGGGCCGTTGCTGTCAGGCTTTTCCCAGTCGAGAGGCGAGAGGCTCTGGGCATGATGGATGTCTTGCGCTGACAGTCCAGTGTCCAGGACCTGAGGATTCGTCCGCGATTGTGCCAGCCTGGAAGGCAGAGCTGTGTGAGCTGAGTGCTTGGGCAAGGAGCTGGTAGGGCCTGAGGAGCCAGTCCAGCCCAGCAGCACAGGACCAGAGAGGGCAGAGGAGGAAGATCGCAGGACACAGGACAAAGGAGAGCCTCTGACCAGTGGGCCGTCCCTAGAGCATCAATCCAAAAGCCAGGCAATAGACACACGGAACCCAAGAGAGGCCAGGGCACAGTACAGGCCTGACCAGGAGTGACCAGGAAGAGGGAGAAGGCAGTGCAGGAAGGCAGTGATGGCCAGCCCTGGCGGGAACCGGCCTAAACTTGAGAACCTTCCTTGGCTATAACCACGTCCCACAGCGTGCTCTAGCCCTATGTACAGGGGGACCCCCCAGCGCCCACAGAACTGGGGGAGTTAAGCCAGTGACAGCCCACATCCTCAGAAGGCACTCTGGGTGGTTTGACCAGCAGGAGAGGGGATTCCGACACCCAGGTGTCAAGAGAGACAGCAGGTCCCCAAGGACAAACGCAAAATCACATCCCTGTGGGATTTGCCTGAGCTACACCAAGGCTGTACACGTTGTTTTCTGATTCCCTGGATTTTGAAATTGTTTAATAAAGGACATATGATACTTGAATAGCTAGGAAAAGCAAAAGAAAACTTTTCTTCAAATGAGGGGTGGTCATCAGCCAGTAAAGCAAGAAAGGTGGTAAAAACGTCCCTGTCCCCATAAGGGATCAAGGTGCTGCCTCTGGGGATGGTGCAAAGCGGGTACTGTCCCCACCTGACAGAGCCCAGCAGTGGGAGTGTGGCAAGGGGCTGGCTGACAGGGCGCAGGGCTTCCCCGCAGCCACAGCCCTTTGGGCAGCGTGTCCTGCTACTGCAGGTAGCCATGGCTACAGGACGGCCTCTGGGAAAGTGGGGAAACGCCCCCGCCCTCAGGCTTTACCAAAATACCTCCTGCTGCCTGACGGCCCTCCTCCCTGGGCTTAATTAAGCTCTGCCTTCTCCCTGCCCCACTTCCAAGCAGGCTCCCAGGAGGGGATGCAGCCTGCCCCAGGCATAGGAAGAGGAAATCGGCCTGAGCTGCAGAGCCTTTAGTTCAGCTCAGATGGTGGCAGAGCAGCCAGCAGGAGTTTCTGACCTAAAGGCGACAGCTTTCTAACACATCTGGCCGCCCTGGAAGGGGTCCCCCCAGGTAGAGGGGAGCCTGTCCCTGGTGATGGCTGAGTGGAAGGTGGGGATCTTGCTCTGGAGGTCAGGCACAACAAAGGCCCTGGGAGGGAGGGGCAGGCAGGGCCAACCCCAAAACCCTGTCCCCAGCACAAGGAACACAGTCAATGTTACCTTGAAAACGCTTCATCCAGGCCATCGTCCAGCTCCTTGGGGAGACAAAGCAGGAGGTGAGAACTCTGCAGGGGAAGCCCACGCTCACTGCAGGGGCTCGACCCAGCCCCATGAGCCACAGGGACTAGGGACCCCTGTGGGGCGAGGGGGAGGTGATAGAGGGAAGGCTCAGGCAGGCCTTGCACCTGGCTGCCACCACCAGCACCTCAGCCTGTGGACCCACAGAAGGGTGTGGGGCAGAGAAAGGGCACGTCCCAGGCACTGGAACGGAGGCCTCATTCCCAACTCTGCCGCCAGCGTCTGTGAGACTTGGGGCAAGTCACTGCTCCTCTGTGAGACTCAGCTTTTCCTTCCATCAAGTGAGGGACTAGGTGACTTCTATGGCTTTCAAAATGCCAAAAGGGAAAGGCTGGAGAAGCAGGCTCCCTGGCCTCCATCCTCGCCCAAAGCCCAAATGCCAACGCACGCAACATGATGGGTGGCAGGACCCGTAGCCGCAGCGGAGAAGCCCTGAGCAAGGTCCCTCCACTGCCCCCGGTGCAGATGGGCAAGGAGCAAGGGTGGTCCCCAGACCACCACGGGTTTGAGGGACACCCAGGTCTCTCAACAGTCAGAGGGACTTGAGAACTGTGGAAGTCTGTCCATGTTCTAGATTTTTTTTTTCTTTTCGTGGTTCTGGGGATTGAACCCAGGGCCCTGTGCACACAAGGCAATCACTCTGCCAGCTGAGCTCTATCCCCAGCCCTCAATGTTCTAGATTTTTAATAATTAAAGATATACAAGAAAAGTAAGTGCAAGATTCTGCAATGGACCCTGGACCAGAAAATGGACATAAAATAGACAAGCGGAGAAAGGCAAGGGTCTGCAGGTTGTGTAACACGGTCTATCCGAGTTACTTCCCCGATGTTCGTCACTGCAATGTGGTTATGCAAGATGGTGACATCTAGAGAATCTGGGTGAAGGGACAACAGGAATTCTTTGTATTATTTTTGTAACACAGTCTGAAATCATTTTCAAATGAAAAGCTAAAATAAAATAAAATAAAATAAAATAAAGCTCCTTGGGAGATTCTGTGGGCAGAGGTCACCCTCCTCACTGCAAGATGAAAAAGCTGAGCCTCGGAGAGTCTGAGGCTTGCGCTAAGTCACAGGGGACCCAGGCCACACTGACAACAGCCCAAGTCTTTGACTCCTCATTTAGACGGCTGCGCGGGGAGGGGTTTCAGGCACAAACTCTGCCACACCAAGAACAAAGGGGCCTTTGGCTGGTCCTGCGGTGGGCAGAGCTGTGGACGCTCAGGCCAAGAGGCTGGGCATTGTGAGGAGACATCTGTGCTGGGAGTCAGGCCTGCTGGGGACGTGGCCCCAGGTTCAAAGGGGACATTGTTCATCCCCTGCCCTGGGACTGGGTGCTGCTGGGCTGGGTCTGGTCCTCCTAGAGGCCCACAGGTCACGGTGCCAAGGCCTGGACCCTGGAGCTGCCTGAGGCTCATCCAGAGATCTGGTCAAGGATCAGTGAATTCTGTGGGGTTCCCCAGGCCACATAGTCACTCACCCAGACAACACTGCTGCTGCTCAAGGGTTGAGGCCGTGGTGCCTCGTCCACATTAGTGGTGTTGGCACTGACTGTGGACAGAGGGGCCTTGGTTGTCTCTTCCAAGTCCAGGAGGTTCCCAGTGGCGACCACTGTGAGGGGGTCCGTCAAGGGTATCAGTGGGAGATGTGTCACTTCTTTCTGAATCCCTCCTTGGACTCAGCCTTGCCCTGACCTGTTGATCAGACCACCCAGAACCCTACCCACACCTTCTCCCAAAGCTGGACCCGCCTGCAAGATGAGAACCTGTCTCCCACTGAGGGCTGAGACTGAAACCTGAAACTCTGAACTTCACAACGTTGAAGTTGGTTTCTTTTTCAGTACCAGGGATTGAACTCTGGGGCACTTCACCACCCAGCCACATCCCCAGGGTCCTGCTGAGTTTCCCAGGGCCTCACTAAGTTGCTGATGTGGCTTTGAACTTGCAATCCTCCTGCACAGCTCTTAGGTTTTCAGAGAGAGTGCACAACAGAATGCAAGTACACAGAGAGCGCACACACCCTGCCCAGGGACACATCTAGAAAAACGTGCACCAAGTGGGCTTTCTTTTTTCCTGCCTACATTTTCTCATTTAACCACAACGAACATGTATTATCGATTTAACAACAAAACAAAATCAAACATCAAAATTTGCCCAGCCCTGGAAGGAGAGGCCCCCGGAGCGGAAGGCAGGCCCCATGCCCTGCAGCTGAAGGGCCCCTCCACTGGCCAACACTCACAGCTCTTCAAAGATGGGGCGATGTCGCGGCAGGTCCCTGGGACATCCCCTCCCTCCTGGACGGCTTTTTCCCTCTTCTCCTTCTCTGTGTGATCAAGGCACAGCAAGCAGAAGCCTCAGACCCTGGCACTGTCTCCTGCAATCCCTGGGCAGGAGGCAGGCTGCGAGCAGTCTTGGGGTAGTTTTAGGTCTCCAGCCAGGAGGAAGGACAACTTGAAGAAGCCACTGAAGTCTCACAAGCACCCCAAGGGAGGGAGATGGCCACTGCCCTTCCATCGGGTGGGAAAAATGAGACTCAGCAGGACCTGTTCAAAGTCACAGCCAGGCGAGGATGAGGCTGGGAGTCAGTCAGGTCTGACTGGGGGCCCTTGCCCTCCCGCCCTCCCATGACTTCGATGAACAAGACTCACCTTCTTTGGACACCTGCCAGAACTCAAAGGCGACTTTGAAGGCCTGGGCTACAGTGAGGGTGACAGCCTGTGCCTGAAAAACAGGAAGTGGGGTGGGGAGGCCTGTGGTGTCAACCAAGGAAGAGCAAGCAAACTTGTGTTACTGGGGACTCAGGTCCCTGGTGTAGCTCCTATGCCTCCATCCCTGGCTTGGGAGGGAATGCCTGGGGCAGCAGGTATGGTCTGGCTCTTCATCTGACACCAAAGCAACCTAGGCATGAAGACAGTCTAGAGAAGCAGCCCAGGCCCCATTCTCCCCACCTCCAGGGAAGTCCCCACCCTGCTCCAGCTGCCCCACGGCAAGGGCTGCCCTCGCCAGGCTTTCCTCCCCAAGTCAATGAGCTGAGGCTCACATCCTAGAGAAGCCCCTGAGCACTTGGGGACTGCACACCTGAGCCCACAGAACTGGAGGTCAGAGGCTGGGGCTGGCAGAGTCCAGCCACGGCCTGAAGATCCCTGGCCAGGGAGGCGGGTCAGAGCATCCAGGGCTATGCCAGGCGAGCCAGCAGGGCTGACAGCTGGGTCCCGGCAAGGGTGGCGTTGCCTTACAAACTTCCCGGCAGGAGCAAGATGGCAGTGAGTGTCAGGGACCAAACCATTCAGTTCTATTGGAACCAACCTGTAAGGGGTGGGGCACACCTCAGCCCTTCACCCCTAAGGAACCCCATCCTTGGTTTCCAATCCCACTCAAATGTCACTACTTCACTCCTGTCATCACCTACCTCTCTGTGGTCATCATGTATATGAAAGTGTCACTAGCTGAGGCCAGTGATGTAGCTCAGTTGGTAAAGGGCTTGCCTCAAGTGCACAAGGCCCTGGGTTCAATCCCCAGGACCATAAAAAAAAAAAGAAATTTTCACTAGCTCACTAGCCTGTGTCCCCTGAGCTGTGTGCTTCCCTACCTGTAAGGGTCAGTCTGAACCTCCTCCCCCAGAGCAGGCCACACCCCTCCGAGGAGGATACAGGCTGGATGAATCACAGCACTCAAAGGGGCAGGCCTCAGCCAGCCAGGACCTTCCTGGGCCACACTCCACTCAGCACTTCCTCTCTGGGACCCGGGATTCCAGGTGGAAACTGCGCAGCTCAACTCCAGGCGTGGGAGCTCCAGAGCTCGCGGCTGGAGCTGGAGCCCTAGAAACACCACCCAGCTTCCTTCTAGAAGTTCTGGGTAGGAGAAGAAAGCACGAGACTCCTTCAAGTGCACCACAAGTTCAGACCTCACCAGCCTCAGCCACACTCCCCCTTCTACCAGATAACATGGTTTAATTGAGAAATGAATCCATGGCCACTGCCTTCCAAAAAAAAATTTTTTTAAAGTTTTAAAATCCCTAAACAAGCTGACTGATGCGTGCCAATTAAACTTCACCAAGTATAAAATCTCATTTGAATGTCTCCGTCATTTACATTTTTGATGGAAGTACGGGTGCTTTATGGCAAACTTAAATATGGTAATTAAGTATGAAGCTCTTCACAGCTGTTTACAATTTAAGCTGTCATGTCTGAATCAAGTTTAATAGACCCAGTTACCATTGAGAATTGCCCATGAACTAAAAATATGGGCTAATTACCAACCCGAGTCAGATCACTATACACCAGAGCAAGGGCTGGTCACCCAGTGTGGCTGGGATGTGGAAACACCAATATTTTTGCCTGCAGGAAACCTGGGGACACAAGCTTAGACTGTTTTTGCATAAATCTGCTTCTCATTTGCATACATTCCCGCCACTTTGCCCTGACGTCCCAGGCTGTAAGTTAAACCAAATATAACCAGAGCTGCAGATTCGCGCGTGCAGGTGGCTGAAGGCCCAGGCGCGGCAGGGTCTGTGAGGATCTAGTACCAGCTGCAGGATCTAGTACCAACCTCAGAGGACAAACTGCTCAGGCCTGCCGCGGACAGCCTTCGTTCCCCACTTCCAGGGCCGGTGCCAGCCTCCTCTGAGTACCGCTGACTACAGGTCTGTCTCATTACCTGACCAGCTTCTCTACCCAGTTTTCCCGTCCCTGCCTCGTTTCCAGTGACTGGCCAGGTACTAGGCCAACTGAGTCCTGCTCCCTAAAAGGAGAGAGCCTTGCATGAGGATCACTCCAGGAAGGCCAGCAGCCCCTATGCCCAGGTAGAGTGGGGGCATGGAGTCCCTGGGCCTGTGGAGTGACCCTGAGTTCCTCCGCCTCCACTTCTGTACTTGGAGGCCTCGGTGGGCACTGCTACCTGCTGCGGTGGAAGGAAATGTCTTTATGTAGGGAGCTTCTTCTGGCCGTGCCCAACAGGACAGGGAAAGGAGGCCTGGGGGCTGTGCTGCCCCAGCACTGGCCTGGTGGTGAGTGACGTGGGGATGAACCCCTTCTCCAAGCTTCCCGCAGGAGGTGCAGGGAGACAGAGGCTCCAGGAAGGCAGGCTGCCACACCCTACGGTCTCCGAGTCCCAGCTGTGTTAAGACGGTGCTGTCCTGTGTCCCAGCACCAGCCGCCCACCACGGCCGCCTGGCAACCTCCTACTCGCTGCTCATCCTTTGAAGTCCCTGTCTCCGGGGAGACTTCCTGACCTCCAGGAAGGTTGGAGAACCTCCACTCTGGAGTGAAGCCCTCCAGTTACTGAAGCTGAGCCCCTGCCTGCAGACCTGCACAGTCCCCAGGGTCCCCAGCACTCCCCACCAGGCACAGCCCCCAGGCCTCCCTTCTCTGGTCCCACTGGGCACAGCCAGAAGAAGCTTCCTACAAACACATTCCTGTCCGCCAGCAGGTGGCCCAGGAAGGGCACACCACACGGAGTAGGAGCTCAAGGCACCACTTGTCTTCTGCCTCCCCGTGAGGAATCCTGTGAAGTCTTGAGAATCTCTGGGTTTCAAAACAGGGCCAGGGGCTAGCTAAGGCCTTGGAGCACCAGGCAGTGTTGTGTGTCACCTGGGGTGAGCTGTGTCTCAGAAAAATGGGGTGGAAGCAAAGAATGGAGAGAAGGACAAGCTGCAGTGCAGCCAGTCAGTCCTGACCACGGACAGGATATGCTGAGAGGAGGGAGGAGCCTGGTGTCTGGCAGGAGCCCTGCCCTCTGTTGACTGCCTTTCTGACCGGGGGTGGCCGATTTCCTTCAGGTCTGTCTGAGGTGCTCTGAGCCCAGGCCGGGCCTCCCTCGGAGGTGCCAGGCTAGCTCCCTCTTATCCTACCCTCATGCACAAGGGAGCCCCTGCACCTGGGAGTGGCCCTCCACCGGGCCCTCTTGCTGCAGCAGGAGCTGTGGGCCCGCTGCCCAGGACACACTCCAGTCAATAGGAGGAAGAGGCGGACAATGGGACAAAATGAGCCCGTATTTTAAGTCCATGTGGCCTCATAAGAACCAACACCAAGAGTTACTGTCTAGGGAACAAGGCTGCCACTGGAGAAGTTCAGCCGCCGCAGTTCAGGAGCCTGCGGTATCACAAGACCCCAGGTGAGTGCCCAGTCCCACAAAGTCTGCAAGAAACAAGGGGGCAAAATCAGCACAGCGGTACAGGCTTGTAATCCCAGACTCAGGAGGCTGAGGCAGGAGGATTGTGAGTTCAAGGCCAGCCTCAGCAATTTAGTCCTAAGCAACTCAGTGAGACCCTGTCTCCAAATGAAAAATAAAAAGGGCTGGGGATGCAGCTCAGAGGTTAAGCACCCCTGGGTTCAATCTCCAGTACCAAAAAAAAAAAAAAAAAAAAAAAAAAAAAAATCACTGAGATAATCTCTTCATTCTGTTGATAGATAACAGCCCAGAGAAGGGCAGGATCTTATCAAAGGCCACACAGCACATCAGCCATTAGGAGACTTCTTGTCTGTCTCCTACTATGTGTCTTCCATGATCCTTTGTGGTAGGCTGAATCTGGGCACCACAGATGTCCCTGTCCTAATCCCTGGAACCTGTGAATGTTACCGTATATGGCAAAAGGGCTTTGCAGACGGGATTAAGTCAAAGACCTTGCCATGTGGAGATTATCCTGGATTACCTAGTGGGCCCAATGTCAACAGGGCCTCGAGTGGGGTCAGGAGAGCCAGAGAAAGAAACAGCAAGGTGACGACAGAAGCAAGACTGGAGGTTGACCTGCTCAGGCCCTGAAGGGGGGGGACAGGGCCTCGAACACAGGATTGCACGTGACCTCTGGAAGGAAGAAAAGGCCAGGAAACAGTCCCCCCTGGAGCCTCTGGGAGAAACACAACCTGCTGACCCACCTCAGCTCTCTGACCCCCAGAACTGTGAGAGGATAAACATGTCTGGCTTTAAGCCACTAAGTCTGTGGTCACTTGTTACAGCATCATAGGAAACACACAGTACCTAGAGCAGGTGGGCCGCAGGAAGCCAGGCCCACTGCTCTGATGTCCTCCACGGGTCCTTTTACACAGGGAAGGGAGAGCCATGGGGACTGGGGACCAGGCTCTTGGCAGTGACAGAGGTCAACTGAAGCTGACACTGAATCAGCAGATGTGGGAATCTCTTAACAGGGAAGATGCTCCGATCACAGGGCCGCAGAAACAAAGCCACGATGCCAAAGGCTGACCTGCCCCAGCTCCATGTTCCCAAATTCAAGACAAATGCCCAAGACCACCGAGGTCTCTCATCCACCCATCCAGCTAGATGTGTCAGGGTCAGCCTGGAAATGGGATGGAAGCTCGCAGCCCTCCCAGCTGCACAGAGGGGAAGGAATGTGGGTTCAAGTGCCTCTGCTCTTGGTGGCCGTCATCTTCAGCAAGACAGCTGGGCTCCGAGGGTGTTTCATTATAAATCTCAAAGAAAAACAACAGCGAACAACAGTGTCCCGGCGCAGAGTGTCCTGAAGGTGAAACAAGAAAACCCTTAAAGCCAGGCACTAAAATGAGCATGCGGAGGGTGATGAAGCCTCTCCCTGCCTGGGCTGGTCACAGCAAGTACAGTCCCCTGAGGGGTCCATCCCAGGAGCTGGGCACTGACCTCTCATCTCCAGGGCCTAAGCCCTCCCAGGTCTGCACCCTGCAGGCTGCAGTGGCCCCTGGTAATCTCACACCTAACAAATCTTGTTACAGAGAGGAAGTGGCCCAGGTACTTCCTGGACAAAGGCGAGTCACTGGGCACAACCAGGCTGTCCTGTGGGGCGCCGCTGACTACAGGCCTGCACAATGCCATTGGCTCTCAGCAGCCACTTGAGATTCCCAGGGGTTGCGTCCATTGTTAATGGACTTTCACCTTTGGGTCTTGCCTTCTCCCAAGAGCAGCCCCAGCTCCCCACTGACCATTTTCCGCTTGGTGCAGAGGAAGGCATGGCACTCGAGGTTCTCGCTGTGCTGGCTCTGCGCAATGTATGCGAAGACTTTGTCGTGCATCTTGTCTGCTGTACAGTAGGAGATCCTGAAAGGCAAGTGGGAAGTGTCACCAGACCCAACAGGGCCTGACCACAGCTTGGATGTGCTGTATGTAGGGCATCTCCCCTGAGTTCAAAGAGCCTACTATCCCCTCTTCTCCAGGGCCGGACTGTAGATTCAGCCTTGGCCTCCAGGCCTGGCATCCTGCACCTTCTGTGGGGGAAGGACCCAGGCCAGGCACAGGAACTGGGGGTAAAGACCAGAGGAAGCCACCTCCTTCCTCCCCCTCCCATGTTGAGCCACACTCCAAAATAGTAGAAGCTGATGCCCAACTGCTCCCCAGGCAACGGATCAAAGCTTTCCAGACAGAGCCTTGCTTCATTCTCAGAGCTTCCCTTGGAGATGGAAAAACTGAGGCTCAAGGTCTGGGACGACAGGGCTGGTGGCAGAGCTGGGACCTAAACTCACCTGTGGGATTCCAGAGTTGTCCCTGAAAGGTCTGTTCTAACTGGGGGTAGGGACACCACCCTGCTTGTTCTGCCCGTCACCCGGCCTCCCCTGCCAGGTCATCAGGGGAACTCCAGCCCATGTCCCCCAAGGTGGCTGGGATCAGGAGCAGCACATCTTCTGGAGCTGCTGCCAAGGGTGGGGACCTAGAACTAGGGCTGGGCATGTGAAGATGGTGACAGGATCCCCAGTGGGTATGGGTGGAGATTCCGTAACTCGCAACTCATTCTGCAGGGAACACCCTCTTGCTTCCCCAGCCCTCATCTGCTGGTCCTCTCTGCTGGATTCCCCCACTCCTCCCATCCTAGGAATCGTGACCAGGGGAGGAGCCGACAGCCCAGGAGCCGAGAGGCCCCAGCTTCAAGCTTCAATGACACCACTCCCGTGGCAGTGCTGAAGGCCTGCAGGTGGACAGAAGGGGTGCACATCCCCAGCTGCCTCTTATTTCTAGGGATCCAGCCTCTTGCCCAAATGGCCCTGGGTCCTTGGAATCAGTCGGCCAGATCTTGTGACTCTTCAAGCCCCAGCAGGATGTCACCTCCCCTGAGAGGCATTCCCAGATTTCCCCAGGCAAGCCCTTCCTCTTCTGTTCCCCCGACCCCAACACTCTGTCTCCTATTTCCTCCCCTCCTGTCCCTCCTAGACTGGGAGCTCCTGGAGGACAGAGCGTGAGTCACATCCCTCATCTGGCACAGACATCAGCAGAGCAGGTCCTTGGAAAGACAGGCTGGTGGCATCAGCAAGGTGAGAAAAGGCATCTGCTCAACACACTCTGACCCCAGCACATGTGCCCCCCATGCTGGCCCAGGCTGCAGCCAGCTGAGCCAGCTGCCTGGGGACAAAGCAAGAAAGTGGAAGGAGGCCTGGCAGATGGGGGCCTGCTGGGCAGAGCTCTAGCCTGGTCCCTGTCCAGGTACCACCTCACTGTAGCAGAGGCCATTCCCTCTCTGGGCCTCACTTTCTCCCTCTGTAGAATGGACTGGGACCCCTTCTAGTTCGTAAGTTCTACAGGTGACCAGCCAAGAGAGAAGTGGAGGCAGCCTGAGGCTCCAAGGGCTAAACCCTGCCTCCGTGGGACAAGAGAGCCTCAGAGGGACCATCTACACACTGTGGTGCAGATCCTGGGTGACCTCTGGAATGTCCGGCCAGTTGCCCAGGGCTGAGCTACTGCATTTGCGGTGGAAGAGGCAGGGAGTCTGTAGCTCTGTGCTCCAGGCCGAGTCGGCACTGCGCAGGTTGAGGTGGGCGCACAGGGCCAGGCAACTGCACCTTAGTGGAGGACTTGCTGTGAGCTGGGTGCTATGTGGGAGCATTCTGTTAGAGCTCAGGGAGGCAGGACCTGCTCCCATCCCGTCCAACAGATGAGGACATGAAGACTCCACCATCACGGTGACAGAAAGCAACAGAGCCTGGACTCAGCTAGACCACTCGGTGCACCACCCCAAGAGGCAGTGACATGGGCCACCCCCGTGCAGCTTACCTGTAAATGGACACGTTCTCAATGAGCTGATTGGTGAGGTTGTCGGTCAGGATAATGCCCCGGGGTGACACTTTGAGAGTCACCTTCTGCAGCTTCTTCCCACTGGCCTTGGCCTAGGGAAGGGAGAAGGAAGGCAGAGGTAGGTCAGGAGCTGCCTGTTTACGTGGGGCCCTGCCTCGCGGCTGTGCCTAACTGACCCAGGCCCACAGGCAGGGCCTGTGTGAGGCCTCGGCTCAGGCCAGTGCCACGTGGAGGGTGCTCAGCCAGCCCCTCCTGCAATAAAAACAGGATAACAACTGCTGCTGTTCACCAGCACCCTCAGCCTGTCAAGCACTGGACCTCACAGGCAGCGGGGTGGACTCTCGTCCTTCCCCCCTAGGAGGAAGTGAACTCAGAGGGTGAGGGACTGGTCCAAGGGCACACAGCTGGGAGGGATGCCAGACGCTATCTCCACCAACAGGATGACATGGGAGTGCTCCACCCACCACTCCTGCCAGCACCTGAGCCATAGGGTCGAGGTCACTAAGGAAAGTGGATTAAAGGGCCATACTCACTAGGAGCTGGGAGGGGCCAATCTGGTCCCTCGTGGGCTACACTCTCTCAGGCCACTGTGCACATGGTCAAATGACAGCAACCTCCCCACCTCCCCAGCACTGGTAAGCCATCAAAACTCAGGCAAGGAGGCTGAGCCATGGAGTTGAGACTGAAAGTAGCCACAGACATGTTGGCTGGACAGGAGGACACTGACCCTGACCCAAGTCCAGTGGATCTCCTCCATGTGAGGCCACTGAGCTGACACACGAAGACTCCAGGGCAGGGCCAGGCTCAGACATCCCACTGAGGTCATGAGCTGGGGAAAAGGGGCAGCTGGGAAGAAGCTGGCCCTGGCTGTAGCACCTGCCTCCCTCCCCAGGGCACTTACAGTGGCCACGATCCTCTTGACAGCAGCGGCTGACAGCTCCTCGCCTTTGGGCCGCTCCACCAGTGTCATGCCCAGGTACTTGAGGCTGAAGAGCATGCCCTCCAGCAGCGTCTCCCGGGTGTCCGTCCAGTTCTCAGGCAGCTCTGGGGTAGGACAGGGAGGCCCTCAGAAAACCAGGAAGGAACACTGTGGTGCCCCTGCCACCATTTTTACTACCCATGAAGAACAGTTTCTAGAACACACCCAGCACTGAAAGGCAGCTTTCCACAAACTGCCCCCACGAATTCTCAAAGAGCCCACGAGCAGGTCTTTTATCACAGCCACTGCAGACAACGATGCCGGGGCCCAGGAGGCTGCCACATAAGCCCACAGAGCCAGTCAGTGCCGGGGCTGACTTGGCCACGTGTCCAAGTCCCCAGCCAAACTCAACTTCAACGCTTCTTTTTTTTCCTTCTTCCCCAAGTGAAAAAATCCATTTTTTTTTTTTTACTTTTAAAAGACATTATTATTGGGGCTGGGTGGTGGCTCAGCAGTAGAGCACTTGCCCAGCACATGTGTGGCACTGGGTTTGTGTGGCACCACATAAAAATAAATAAATAAATAATGCAGGTATTGTGTCCATCTACAACTAAAAATATTTTTAAAATGTTATTAAAGCACAATTCACATGTCATAAAATTCATCTGTTTTAAGGGGACAATTCAGTAATATTTGGTAAACTTACAAGTGGAGCACCTGTCATCACAACCCAGTTCCCATACACTTTCATCATCCCCAAGGTGCCTCCACCTGTTTCTCTCTTTCTACCCCAGTGGTAGGAAGCTGCCAGGCTACTTTCTGTCTCAAGGTTTTGGGGACCTTCGGTGTCAAATCTTTCTGTTTCAAGATTTGCCTTTTCTAGACATTTCATGCAAATAGACTCAGCGAGGGGCCTTTTGTGTCAGGCTTCTTTAACTTATGGAGCTCACTTTTTTGGTCTTTGAGACTGGTCAAAATGTTAAAAATTTGATGCCACCTAGATTTGGTTGGCAGCCCTGTGGGTGCCACAGGTAGTCAAAAATATGGAGCACTTAGGGAATTTGCCTGTCACCCTTGCACTAGGCTATGCTACTCTTCTCTGTTTCATTCCAATTTTACCATCAATGCTGCGGAAGCGAACGCCAGTGCTAACTTCTGCCCCTTCTCTTGCTGCAGCCTTGGTGAGGTGGGTATGAGCCCTCGCTACAGTCAGGAGGCAGAATGGAGGGGAAGGGACATGAGACAAAAGTCACACACCACAGCAGAGGGATGAGGCCCCGGGTGGCCACCGTGGCCCAGTCTGAACTGCCTCACTCTGCTTGCACCCAAGACCCAAGGGTTGGGGAGGGCAAAGGGCTGGGGGAGGGCGGCAGCAGAGGCAGCAGCTCAAGGATCTCTGGGCGATGTCGCCTTATCATTCTGGCAGACCTGGTTCAAGTTCCAGCTTTGCTGCCTGCTCCCCCCAACCCATTCTCAGAAGAGCACCCCCCCCCCGTCCCCTTTGAGACTGATAATGCCCTCCTCTGAGGGTGACAGTAATGGCAGAGCAGGCTATATGGGAAGGGTCCTCTGAGAACTCTGGATGAAGACTAACGTCAGGAAGGCTGGGAAATGAGGGATGAGTCAGTCACTGGATAGGGACATAGAGCAGGAGGGAGGGGGGGAGACAGCCCCACCCCTCAGGAAAGGGCCCTGTGGAGGCAGAGACATGGGGGAGGCGCAGCCCGCATGGGAGGCTTTGCCAGTCCTAGGTTCCTCGGTGGAGCTCAGGCCCGGCATCCATCCCTGGGAGGGAAGCACAGTAAGGAAGCAGTGCGAAGGTCCCCAGGCCCCAGGATGAACGCTAGCCCCTCACCTGTAGGGCCCTGTCTGTCCTTATCAGCCCACGCAGAGGCTGCCCTTGGGGGAGGTGTTCACGCTGACCATACCCATTCTACAGATGAGAAACTCCTCAGAAGCACACACAATCTTGCTGAGGACACAGCAGGGTCCACACAGGAACCAGCTTCTGGGGCCACCAGAGAGGTAGCAGCCTCCTTAGGCCATTCTCTGGACAGGGTCTGGGAGAGGTCTGTGCCCACACTGCCTCCTCCTGGGCCTCCTCGCCAGCACTGATGCTCAGCCACAGGAGGCAAGTTTAGCGCTGGCATCAGGGGCTCCAGGGCAGCTGAGCCCTGGCAGGGTCATGGGTCTCCCCACGAGGTTCGGCTGGGCTCTGGTGTTGCTGGACTGTCAGGAGTAGAGTCCTGGGCCCAGGGCACCACCAGGCCCCCTGCGCAGTCTGTCTCCCACGGCCCCTCCTAGCACCTATCTCAGCACTACAAGGTCCGAGGGCTGTCCCCCTCCTCTGCAGTCAGGAGACTGCACTCACACTCCTCTGGATTTAGGTTGAGCAAGCCACTGTCCCCCTCGGAGGTTATTTCCTCATCCGAGAGGGAGTGTGTGTGTGCGTGCGTGTGTGTGCTGGGGTGGGGAGGTCATATGGGGGCCTCGTGTTATCCTTCCCGAGATCCTGGTGAGCAGGGATTTGCTAGCTGACCCAGAACTGGCACGCAGCTAGCACCCCACATTTGCTGGGTAAAAGAACAACCTGGAAGACCTCATCCCCAGCTCTGGCCTGATGCACTGCCCATGAGCCTTCCCTCCTGGGCCTCTACCCTAACATGAGGCCTGGTCCTCACTGAGATGACCCTAAAGTAACCCCATCCTCTGTCCCATCTGCCAGAAGCCTAATCCATCTGATTCTCCAAAAAAGCAGCAGAAAGTTCTTCTTGGTGTGTCCCTGGTACCACATAAGATGATGGTACAATTCAGGCCCTGCTCTCAAGGAAGCCAAGACTAACAACATCATCTCTGGGGTGAATCAGAGCTACCGTGTTGATAAAGATGAATAATCAAAGCTGGGGCTGGGATGATAGCTCAGTTGGTAGAGTGCTTGCCTCGCGTGCACAAGGTCCCCAGCATCACCAAAAAAAAGAAAGAAAAAGAAAAATAATAATAATAAAAAGCTACCCTCCAAGCAAGCATTCTTTCACTCCAATTTCACAGACAAGGAAACTCAGGTTCCAAGGACTCTGGCTCTAAAACCCAAGCTCCTGAGCACTGGATAGACCATCTGTCCCTGAGGCCAGCTGCCTTACCTCTAGGAGAGGGTCAGGGAGAGGGAGAGATTCTTATAGCTGGAGGTATTTGCTCCACCTGGACTGGGTATTCCTAACACTAGTGGCTTCCTTTCTGTGGGCCAAGATACCAAGACCACTTTGGACCTGAGCCCATCTAAAGATGGCACAGGCAGAGCTGCACTGCCCATTGCCTGTGTCCTTGGCAGACATTGCTAACTGACGGCAGCTTGATTTCCCTCAGTTTCAAAACAGGGCCCCAAGGCAGGCCACACCAATCAATCAGGGCTGGCCTTGTTCATTCATTATCCATTCCTGCCCTAATGCAAACATCCTTCCTCCCCTATTTTTGTGACCCCACTCTCTCATTTCCTGTGGCTCAGCCTTTTTCTGGCCCCTTTCCAAAGCCACTTCCGATCCCTCCATTCCAAAGGGCCAAAGCTTGCCAAGGTCACTGGTGATCTCTTTGCTGTCAAAACATTCCCCTGTCCTCCTTGACCTCTGAAAAATGCTTGCCATTTTTCTGCATTCCTCCCTTCCTGGACTCACCCTTCCATATTCTACTCCCTCCTCGTAAAGTGGCTGCTACTCCCTGGCCTCAGAGGCCCCGGGTCTCCACACCTTGCTTGACAGATGATGCAACTGAGGCCCAGAGAGGGAAAGTACCCGTTTGAAGTTATAGCAAGTGGGGGCAGGGGAGGGGGCCCCAGACCCCTACACCCAAGCCCCACAGTGACTGTTCCCATTTCTTTTCCCACAACACACACAGAGACCCCAGCAGCTCCAACTGTGCAGAACTGCGTCCTCATAAGGCAACACTACTTTCCAACTTTTGAGCTTCTGTTCAAATAGTTCTATCTAAAATGATTTTCTTCCCTTCACTTGATCCAAACCCCATTCATCCAGGCTCTTCCAGGAAGCTCTGAGGCAGCATAGCCCAGTGGTTAGGAGCAAGAGCCTTAGTCCTACCATTCCAATTCTGGTGCTTTGTGGAGTGATCCTAGGTTAATTATCTTCCTGAGCCTCAGTTTTCTCATCTGTAAAACGGGAAGCAACAGTTCCTAGTGTAAGGGGCTGTCTTGTTTTGTCTTTCACGTGTGTGACAGGGGTAGATACTAGGGATTGAACCTAGGGGCCCTCTACCAACTGAGTCACATCACCAGCCCTGTTTTTTTTGTTTGGGGGGGGGGATAGTCTTATTAAGTGCTGGCTTCAAACGTGTGACCATCCTACCTCAACCTCCTGGGATGCTGGGATTGCAGGCATGCGCTGGCCTCCGAGGGGCGTTCTGATCCTTGGATAATAAACTGAGATAATGAGCTTGTAAACTGCACTCAGCCAGGGCCAGCCGGTGGCAGGTGCTCCACGCTCTCATCCCTCTGCGAGTGTGAGCCTCCACCTCCTCCACAGCCACACCCCCACTGCCAAGGAGCTGCCTGCTTGTGTTTTCACCTCAAAGGACCTACCATCCACATCCTCCCTCCCAGGACCTGGTATGCAGCAGGGGTGCCCTGACCAGCAGTGCCATCCAATCTTGTTCTGCTTTGCCTTGTCCCCATTCCTGTCACTGGTCCTCCCTTTCCTCTGGGAGGCCTGGTTCCTTTCTGGTCTTCCTGTGCACATGGCTCTTCTCGTGAGATGTGAGATCTTTGGGGCCCACATCTTCCCCTCTGCAGCCAGCAGCACCAGGCCTCGGTACCAACAGACCCACGGAGTTTCTCACCACCCTCGTCCTGCTCACCGGTCATCACCTCAAACAGGATCCACTCAGAGCATCCGGCTCAAGGCCACATGCTCTCAGAAGGGGCCCAGGACTCCAGGGGAAGCTCCCAGAGGCTCCCTGAGTCCGCAGGCCTGTTCCGGTCTGGTTATTTTGCGCCCTGTGGTGGGTAATGACTATGCTATTTTAACTGTGCAATTTTACAGATGACCTGCTGCCAGAGTTAGATGGGACAGACCATACGCCCAGTCTAACTTCAGCTGTGACCATGTGCTCTTTCCTCATGATGGTCCTTACCCAGGAGTTAGGGACAGGCAGGGCATACCTGTCCCCCTTCTGCTGCCCCAGGAGACCCAGCAGGATGGTGTCTGGGACATCCAAGTCTCAGCCAAAGCAGGGGCCTAGAAGCCACAGAGTGACAGTATCTCAGGAGGGGACCCAAGTTCTGCCCTAACAGGAGTATGGCTGCTTCTCTGGGTTGCAGTGTCTCTACCTGTCAAATATGCTCAGCCCTCTGGGAGCATCATCTGAAGGAGCTTTCAGAGGTGAGAGTGTAGGCTAATTTCAGAAGTCAGAAAGCTAGTGAGACTTACTAACTTAACAGTGATCACTGCAGCAGCTCCGTTTCCTGAACACCTACACACACTGCAGGAGAAAAACAGGCTCTGCAGGAGGGCAGCCGGCCACCCAGCCTCCCCCCTTTACACGGGGACAATAATACTACCTACCCCAGGGGCTGTCATGAGGATGAAGCAAGTTCCCCCACTACCCTGTGTGACACACACCAAGAACCAGAGTACAAGCTACTGTCACTACCAATGTCAGGTGCAAAGGGCTTTACTGTGTGCGTGACCATGCAGAGTATTTTCTAAGAGCACTACAGACAGGTCAGCAATCCCACTTCGCAGATACAGCAGCACAAGAGTGCGCAGGGCTGACAGCTGACAGCACTGGGACTCAAACTGACACTCGCTCCTGCTGGCAAGGCAGCGGCCATGCAGAGCCCTGCTCAGGGTCACTCCAGCAGGGCCTGGGCCTGCTGCCCTGCAGGGCTGCTAAAGAAGCATGTGACCCTCAGTGGGCAGTAGATAACCTCTGACTCCCTCATGTCCCTCCCTCAGCRGCCAGATCTGGGAGGAGCAGAGTCCCAGCCCCCAAGTCAAACATCCCTAGAAAGTGCATCCCAGATTCTTCCCTATTGGATTCACGAGTATCRCCCAAGTTACTTCCCCAGAGAGGTGATACTGTCAGGGGCCCTCCATTCATGTTGGTCTACCAGCACCTGCCACCCTGCCTGCGGGCTCACTGGCTTTGGAGGGCCAGTCCCCTGCACACTGCAACCCTCCAGCTACAACTGCTGATCAGGGTCCCTCAAAGGGAAGGCATGGTGGCGTATGTCTATAATCCCAATGACTCAAAGACTGAAGCATGGAGGATCGCAAGTTTAAGGCCAGCCTCAGCAACTTAGTAAGACCCTGTCTTAAAATAAAAAAATAAGGTCTGGGCATGTAGCTCAGTAGTCAAGTGCCCCAGGTTCAATCCCCAGTACCAAAAAAAAAAAAAAAAAAGGAACAACCCTGAGCAGCACGTTCTACCTGGCTCCCAGAGTTCCCCAGGGATTAAGCTCCAGTGGCCCACAGTGGTCATCTGCTTCAGGATACCCACTTTTTGGACCCCCTTCCCTTCTCACTTGTCCTGACAATATTTACTGRGATCACTTCTCAAATACAGAACTTGCACTCAGATCCTTGTCTTGGTATCTACTTTCAGAAGAACTCAAAGACATCACCACCCAATCTGCAGAGCCATGCTGTCGCTTCTGCAGCCTGCTTTGCCTTTATCCACAGCATCGCTACCCTCTACAATCCTGTCCCTTTCTCTACCTCCTCCACCAGACTGTGAGGACTACCAGAAGAGCAGCGACCAGTCCCCAGGTCCCCATAGCCTCTCAGTGCCCAACAGGTATTAGGGTTTGGCAGTTTATTCATCCTATTTATATCTCATAAATACATATGAACAGACGCCTCCCTCCCCCACCTACCATCATGAACTGGTATCATGATGGTATCATATTTATCCTTCCTCTTTTGCCTCCCTGACAGGTTAGCACAACTCCCAAAGGAGCCTAAGGGTCAAATGACCCCAATTCCTTTGGAAGAAGGATACTGAGCGGCCACGGTGAGCCATCTTTCCAGGCAGCTGAACAAAAGGAAAATCCTTAACCAGGGAATAAGATAAAATATTTATGGTTCCCTAAGAGATGGGAAGAAGCCACATGTGGGAGAGGGAGAGAACCCCTCCAGGTCAGGACACCTGGAGAGAAAAGCTGTAAGCCTCAGAACCCAGAAGCCTTGGGATGTTGGCTTTCCTGTGTGACATCAGACATGTTGCAGCCAGTCCTGTGCTTCAGTTTCTCTATAAACAAAAAGAATGATCGTGCAAATCCCAGCTGAAGACCTGAGAAGCGAGGGGCAGGCCTACGTAACTCCAGTGGCATCAGTCTGGCCTCAAAACTCAGCCACAGGCCTCAGATCTCAAAGGCTAGGCCCAAGGCTTGGTTGGGTCACAACCCTAAGCAAGAGTACTCTGGCATCTCCCCTAGTCACATCTCTAACCTGTGGGTCACAAATGTTTTCAGGGGCTGCCAGCCCAACCTGGGGTGGGACCTGCCACTGAGGTTCTCCATGGCCAGAGGCCACACTGGTAAGATCCCCAGCACATAGATAGATCCTGGCTGGGGATTTGGAGTTCTGTCATTGGAAGCTCTATGCCTGGGGCCAGCAACTCCACTTCTCAGTTCCTTTATCTCTAAAATGGGTCTGATAAGAATCCCCTGCTTTGATCATAGGAGCAAATGAGGTACAAGCAGCAAAATACTTTGTAAAACACAGTGACCAAAGCCTTAGTTACCACCTATTGAATTCTTCCTTTGTACTGGGCAAAACACACTCATGTAACCCCACAAAAAGCCTGAGGCAGATATTTCTCTTATTTGCAATTTACAGATGGGAAATTGAGAATTAATAATGAGGGACAGGTGGGGCTCTGGGTAAGCTCATTCAGGGTATAGAAGGCACTGAGACAACAGGGACTGAGCTCTGAACTTGTGGGAGGTGGGGGAGGGAAGGGGTGCTCCTCAGCTTTCCCTCAAGGTATAAAAAGGCTCTAAGCCCCCAAACCTGGTCCATCACAGTAAGAATCATGTTGAAGGTCTATACAGACAGGAGAAGGGGAGAGGGGTGGATCAGAAGGGAGCATTATAAAACAATTTTCCTATAACACCCTACCAGGTAAAATTTTTTTAACCCCATTTTGCAAGCAAAGAAACTGAGGATCATTAAGGACAAATGACTTGTCCTCAATTGGAGCACACCAAAGACACTCTTTTCCACCACCCAAAGCCGCTACTTCTTCCTCTCCCMAGATTCAGCAGTGCTTCTAGGCTCCCTTCCCTTGAGAACCACTGCCCCAGGGAGCTTCCAGGCTCACCCTAGAGAAAATCGGCAGGGTTCCTCCACTGAACGCTTTCTCATAAAGGACTATTCTGGGAGCCAGTAAGTGTGGGAGATGGTACATGCCCGGCCTGGCCCTAACGGGTCTCTGACCCCACCCCCACCAGCAGGACCCAGCCCACGTTCCCAATGCCAGTCTGGAGCAGCAGATCGGGGCAAGAGGAGGGGCAGGGCGGACTCCCTAGGCCCAGACACGCTGGCGCTCCAGGGACTAGGGAACTCGGGCTCCCCTGGCGGAGCCCTGAAAGGCAAGGAGGGGTGGGGGTGGCTGTGCCGTTTCCTGGTCGGGGGAGAGGATGGCCCTAGGTGGGTGGCAGGTGGGGATATGGATATGCAGGAATCCTGCGATCTGGCTCCACATCAGCCCGGAAGGCCTGTGTGAACTTGGGCAAACAACTCGCAGAAAAGGAGGGACCTGGGCTAGGTTTCCCAGGCCCCAGGGGAAGGTGCCAGGTGACGGACTCCCAGAGAGTAACCCGAGCCTAGAGGACAGGAAGGGGGGGCCTGGGTGAGCTCCTCCCAGCCTCCCCCAGGAGAGGTGGCAGGGCGTCTGCCTTTTGCCTGGGAGCCCAGGGATTTCGTTAGACCCTGGGGGAAGGTGCGAGAGAAAACAGGTTTCAAATATAGCCTGGCCGCCAGCCTGGCCACCTGGATCTGGCTTTAGGTCCAGGTCGCCCGCGGCGGGGGCCTCTTCAGGCACTCCAGGCCGGTCTCCCAACAAGTAGGTAGGTACCTGTGACCTCGGGCTCACACCTGAGGCCCAGGAGTTCAAAGAAGACCCCGTAGGCAGGAATCCGGTTGGTGGAGGGGCTAGTGGGCTCCGCCCGCCGCACGTCCCCGCAGGGGAGCAGAGGCGCGGGGATGGGGCATCTTCCCAGGCGCTCGCCCGCGCCCCTCGTCCCCCGGGCGCTGACGCTGAGCTCCTGCCTCCCGCGGGCAGCCCAGGACGGTGGGGCGGGAGTTGCCCGGGGTCGCCCAGGCCTCTCCTACCTGCACCTCCCTCCCCCGGCACCTGGAGACCCCCAGCTCGGTCTCCTCCCCAGCTCCGCCCTCCTCCCCGCCGCCAAGAGCGGGGGTGGGGAGTGGGAGCACGACCTGACCCCGGGCGACCCCAACCCCGCGGGGCCGGGAAGGCCGCGACGGGACGCGAGCGCAGGGAAGGCCCCGCCTCTCCGCCAACTTGGCCCGACTCCGGGCGCCCGCGGGAGGCCCCGAGCGCCTGGCCCGACCCCCGCCCGACCCGGCCCGACGGGCGCGCACACACTCACTGCGGTGCCGGCCGCCGCCCCCCCAGCTCTGCTTGGCCAGGCTGGGGCTCCGGATCAGCGCCCGCCCCGCGGACTTGAGCGCGTCCATGGCCCGCTCCGGCCGCCGGCGCCGCCGCCAAAACTCTGTCAGGAGAAACTTTCCGCCCGGCCAGGCGGCGCGCGGTCGGCGCGCTCCTCCCTCCCTCCTTCCCCTCCCCGGCGCGAGCTCCGCGGCTACGTCCAGGGGCGGGGCGAGGCCTATCTGACACGCCCACAGACACGCCCACGGGCACGCCCCTATGCCAGACTCGCCCCGCCTCGGCCTGACTGTGCTAGGGATTCCAAGGTGGGCGGTCCCGGAGGCGTCCAGGCAGAGACCAGCGCTGAAAGCTGGACGCCCACCTTTTCTCCCATCCCCGGTCGCCCGTAGCGGACTGAGGGTCCCAGAGCCCCTTCCCGCCGCGGGAGGCCAGGGCCTAGGATTCTAGACAGCTTCTGAAAGGTGCTTGCAGACCATTTTACAAATCAGGAATTTGAGGTCCCGAGCGGTGAACAGCTCAGGAATGAGAAAAAGGGATGTCCCGGGTGGGGGAGGCTTCGAAGGCAGTAGAAATTTGCCGAAAAGGGGTGCATCTTGAAAGTGGACCCTGAGCACAACCTCTGGGCTCCTTACTGATCCACCTAGCACGAGGTTACTCTCAGGTACCTGCTGGCACTCTGAGCTGCCCCCTGCCCACCCCAATCCAAGGTAGTCTCAGAGATGGTGTGTTCTGCCCTGAGGTGTTGGGGAAAGAGGCCTTAACCTCCCACAGGGACTTGCTGTGGGACTCCAGGCAGGTCTTCCCCCCTCTGGATCTTACTCTTTTTTTTAATATTTATTTATTTATTTTTAGATGGACACAACATCTTCATTTTATTTTTATGTGGTGCTCCTGCTACCACTTGAGCCACATCCCCAGCCCCTGGATCTTACTCTTATCTGTAAAATGAAATGTGATCCTTCCAACAGGTGGGTCCCTGCCTATTTACTGGCTGTGTTATCTTTTCATCACTGTGACAGAATAACTGAGACCCCACCACTTTGAGCCTTCGATAAGGCAGAACATTGTGGCCAGGAGCACTTGGAGCAGAGCTGCTCACCTCATGGCAGCTGGGAAGGCAAAAGAGTGAAGAAGGGACCAAGACACTCCCCCAGCGACCTAGTTCCTCCACCCAGGCCCCACTTCCAGCAGTTTCCACCACCTCCTAATCATCTGTTCGATGATGAGCCCCCCAGTGAGTGAGTGGGTTGATGAGATCAGAGCCCTCTGGATCCAAACCCTTTCCAAAGCCCCACCTCGAAATGTTGTTGCATTGGGAACCAAGCCTTGCACACAGGAGCCTTTGGGGGTCATTCTAGATCCAAACCATAGCAATGACCTTGACCCAGACCCTGCCCTACTTCTTGGGAAGCACTTCCAGGGTAAGCTAAACTCTAGAATTCCTCAAGCACTGGTCTCCTAACCCCAGGATTTTAGAATTCCAACGSCAAGCTCCTGGGCCTTCCCATGACACTGTGGAACGCAGACCCTGCCCGGCTTCTTGCAGACAAGGCAAAGCAGCCTCTGTGACTGCTCAGGAGCCAGCAGACCTGTCTATGTCGAGAGGAACACAGGCTGTGCTCGCCCCAGCTGGACAAGGGGCCTGCTGATGGCCACTGTGTCTAAACTAGGTGCCTTGGCAGCCATTCTGTCCTTCACCATTTCCTGAAGATGCTACTCGGATGCTACTCAGCTGGACCCAGCAGCCAGCAATGGAGCCACTTGACAGCTGGGATCCCTGGGCCAGGGAAAGAACCACTCTCAGAGGGGCTCTGAGGGTCAGAGACCAGGGTCCCACTCAGGCCTATAGGCCCCATGAGTAGGATGCCAGGGTTGGAACAGCACTGTCCTTGTGGTCATCAGGGACTCCCCTTTTTGAGCCTCATCTGGAAAAGGGACGACAGTATATCTCTTCCACAGGATGTCACTCAGGTGTCAGAAGAGCAGAGTCATGGCCTGAGCCCACTTCAAGGTTGCCTCCCACCCCCCAGGGGCCTAGGAKCGAGGATTCGCCACAGGCTCCCACAGTCCTGTGCTCTCTGCTCTGCGGCTGCTGCCTGTCTCTGTTCTCACCTCCGTCAGAGGCTGGTCCTTCAAGGGCAGGAAGATTTTCTGATTCATTTCTGAATCCAGATGCCTAGCAAGGGGCCCACATGGAGTTGGAACACAGCCAGAGCCCCCTTCCTTCTTCCCTTCCCCCCCCCCCCAACTTGTCACCCCACGGGGCTGCCTTCTCTCTCAAAGGGCTGGGCCCTCCCAGGACATATGGGCCCTAGAATCACAGAGAACTTTCTGGCACCTAGAGGAAAAGCAGTCACCCAAGGCTGACCAGCCAAGAGCAGCTGGTGGTGTCCGGCTGGCAGGAGGCACCATATGGGCCCAGTAAGCAGGCAGCCTTGGAACACTGTGCCCGCAACAAAGTCTGTCAACTGGCCCTCGCATCGTCCCGGAGGTGACTCGCTGAGAGCTGTCAGCCATGTGTCTCCTGCAGAGGGGCAGCCTGCCAGCGCCCCTTCTGCTGCTCCCAGAAACAGAAGCAGGAACAGAAGGTCAGAGCTGCGAGGGGCCTCTTCAGCGGTCACTGTGCCCGAATCCTCATTTCACAGGTGAGGAGCTTGGGGCCCAGAGAGGGGCAGGGACTTGTCCAAGGTCACACAGCAAGTCAGGACCAGAAGCCAAGTCTCCTGACCTTCCACTTAGAATTCTTCTAACCACGGGGAGGGAACAAAGAAATCTTAAAAGTACATGGATATTTAAGAAAAGGCCTTAAGGTGATCCCACCCTTTTTTAATATCTTATCTGATCCAACATTGCAAACATTTCTACAATGATCATGAATTCTTTAGTAATCAGAAAAGCAATAAAGAGGGGGAGGGGAAACTCCCTGGTCACCTGCTTCTGTCCCTTTTTTTTTTTTTTTTTTTGGTACCGGGGATTGAACTCAGGGACACTCGACCACTGAGCCACATCTGCCCTATTTTGTATTTTATTTAGAGACAAGGCCTCATTGAATTGCRTAGCACCTCGCTTTTGCTGAGGCTGACTTTGAACCCTCGATCCTCCCATCTCAGCCTCCCCGGCCACTGGGATGACAGGGTTGTGCCACYTCGTCCCGCCTGCTTCTGTGTTTAGTCCAATGACTCTCTCGGAACTACAGTCTGACTTTGTTTCTTGGCCCTTTGACCAAGATCAAGTGCAGAACTTCAATCTGACTCTTGTCTTCCCTGATGGACTCTCACAGGAGACAGTGGGTGCCGGGACTGGGTGGGCTCTCAGCCYCTCTCTCTCTAGGTGCACTTGAACTCGAAGGGAGACCAAGACCGAGTGGAGGCAGGGGCTCAGAAGCCCTGGCCCCCTCAGGCAGCCTACCCGCCCAGCTCCCCTGATCACCCCTTTACCAGGTTTCTACAGGGTCATGGGTGGGGACAGCAGGGCTCCCTGTGTCATGACCTCATGGCCTCAGACAAGTCATTGAATACCATGGGCCCTGGTTCCTCAAAAATGTAACATTGATGCAACAGACTGAAAGTTTAGGTCCCCTCAAAATTCACATGTTGAAGTCCTAACCCCCAAGAGGTGGCACCTTTGGGAGGGGACCCTTAAGAAAGCAGAGCCCTTGTGAGTGGGATGAGTCTATAAGAACCCCGAGAGCTCCCCAGTCCCTTCTGCCCAGGGAGGTTCGCAGGAAGTGAACCGGGACCCTCCCCAGACAGGGACCTGCCGGGCCTTGGTCTTGGGACCCCCAGCCTCCGGCACTGTGAGGAATAGACTCCTCTTGTTTGGAAGCCGCTTTGTTACAGCAGCCCGGGCAGACGAGGATGGAGCATGTCAGGAGTCAGTGTTGTGACGGGTTTAGAATGCCGCCTGCATCCCGTGAGTGTGCTAAACGTTGCCGGTTTTTGTGAAACTCAACTCACATTCCCGACCAGATGAGCGTGAAGATGGCGTGGCGGGAGGGGCTCTGTGGTCTGTCCCCCAGTAAGGACGCTCTCTGGGGACTGGAACCAGCCTGGCCCTGTCTGAGCTGTGGCTGTCCAGCCTCACCCAGAGTCGCGATGGCACCCTCAGTGGGCAGCGAGGACCGCCTCACTCTTCCTCTTCCCGAAACACTTGGCTTCCTCAGCTTTCCCAGGCTCCTGCCTTGGCCCAGAACATCCAGTTGGCTTCCTCCCCAACCCCCGATGTCCACTGTCACAGCTGCCTGCCAACCACTGTCCTCTCCCGAACACACACATGTGCGCGTGCGCGCGCGCGCACACACACACACACGCGCACACACACACACACACACACACCTCTACACAACAACTCTTTGGCCCCAGAGTCCCACGTAACTTGGCTCTTCAGCCAGATCCACCACTTAGATATGTGACCTTAGCTAACTAGAGCCCCGGTCTGCTCATCTGCACAATGGGCGTGATGCCCACCAAGAGGGCTTGGTAAGGCTTCTCTGGCTGTCAGTAAATGGTCACTCTGGTCACCGTTAATGTTATGGTCATGGTGACCCACCTGCCTCTCCCAGGAACTGGATRTGCTTCAAGCACAGGGGCTGGAAAGCATCTTTCACCCCAGGGTCCCCTGGAAGAGCTGACCAGTGCCTGGTACCCAGGAAGTCCGGCCCACTATTCTCGAAGCGTGTCTCACAGCTGGGGGCCTCTGCAGTYGGAGGAGCGGCAGTGCCCAGTGGGGCTGGTGTTCCCGAGGGGTCCCTCGGCCCCCACCGTGCAGCCTGCCCTGCTTGGTGGCCGGGCAGTGGTCTCCTCCCAGCCTGGGCGGGCACAGGGAGATCTCTGAATGGTGGAGCTAATTAAGAATGACAAACCACCGTGTAATTGCCAGCAATTGATGAGTCCCCTGCCTCTTCCTGCCCCTCCTTAGCACTGTCTGGCCTGGAGCTCCCGACAGACAGCCGGAGGCGGGCAGGGAGGGGTCATGAGCACAAGGTGGCATCAGGAGACCCGGGGCCGGCTGCCTCTGCCACCCTGTCACAGTGGGACCCTGGGCAAGGACGTCCGCTTCTCAGATCGGCTTCATCTCTCCTCCCATTGCAGGCTCTTGACCTTGGACTGAGAAGAGGAAGAGGAAGACAAGGTCTGGAGGTCCCGCCAGAGGGGCTCT